GCATTGAAAGTTGATGACTTTTAAACCCGCATAACCTTGAAAAGCAATGTACACTACCAGTCAAAGGTTTGGACACACCTTCACATTTAATGGCTTTTCTTTATTTTCATGACATTTATTTTCATAACTCAAAACATATTTTAGATTCTTCAAAATACTCACCCTTTGCTTTGATTACTGCTTTGCACACTCTTGGCATTCTCTCGATGAGCTTTATGAGGTCGTCACCTGAAATGGTTTTCCAACAGTCTTGAAGGAGTTCCCAGAGATGCCGAGCACTTGTTGGCCCTTTTGCCTTCACTCTGCGGTCCATCTCATCCCAAACCGTCTTGACTGGGTTTAGGTCAGGTGACTGTGGAGGCCAGGATATCTGGCTCAGCAATCCAGTTTCGTCATAGCAGTTGCTGGTTTTTGCAACTTCACTTGGAAACTCATTCCAAATTTTAGCTATTTTCTGGACTGACTACCTTGAGTTCTTAAAGTAATGATGGACTGCCATTTCTCTTTACTTAACTGATTGGTTCTTGCCATAATATAATTCTAACAGCTGTCAGCTGTGTACCAACCTGACTTCTGCACAACACAACTGATGGTCCCAACCCCATTAAGAAGTCAAGAAATTCCACAAATGAACCCTGACAAAGCACACCTGTGAAATGGAAACCATTTCAGTTGACTACATCTTGAAGCGCACTGAGAGAAGGCCAAGGATTTGCAGTGCTGTCAAAAAGCAAAGGGTGGCTACTTTGAGGAGTCTAAAATATAAAATATAAGACAAGTTATTTATCAATTTTGTCTTTGCTACATAATTACATAATAATAATAATAATAGATTTTATTTGAGGGCGCCTTTCAAAAACCCAAGGTCACCTTACAAAAGAACAAAATTAATAAAAGCAATAGTCATAAAATACATAAAAATAAGTGATTAAATAAATAATTGCAAAGCAGAACTTGACAACAGATAAAATCAGCACTAAAGCGAATACGTTTGAACAGATGTGTTTTGAGCTGTGACTTAAATGCGGGAAGAGAGTCATATTTCTTATGGCTGGAGGAAGAGAGTGGCTGGAAGAGCAGAACGACTGAAGGCTCTGTTCCCCATAGTGGTAAGACGTGCGGACGGAACAGTAATAGTTTTAATAGTTTTGCAATTTTCATTAGTTTTTATTTTTATTTAGTTTTGACTTCAGATTTTCAATTTTATATCAGTTTTAATTAGTTTTTACCAATTGTTTGCTAGTTTAGTTTAGTTTTTATTTTTTGGAAAATCCTTAGTTTCAGTTTAGTTTTGATTAGTGTCAGTTATAGTTTTAGTTGTGTTTGCAATAATTAAGTGCAACAAAATCCCAGTTTCATCATATCAGTCATGCTCTTCTGCTTATCCTTGGGTATGTTGCTATTCCAGCTACCATACCCTGCACCCTGGACAGGTCGCCTGTCTGTCGCAGGGCTAACACGCAGAGACAGACAACTCACATGGGTATGGGTTCTTTAAATAAATAAATAAATAAATAAAGGCAGATGAACAACCATTGATACCAGGCAACTATAAAATGTATATCTTGGCCCCAATGAGACTATTAACTCTTGCAGCACCGGGTGTTCGTAATTTTGGTTCAAGTGAATTGATACATTTTTTTGAAGGCAATTGACTCACACAGTTATGTAGATGTGCCCGTCCTGTTGTCTCGGGATGCATCACGCTGCCTTGCCTGGGGTTAGCTTCTGTTTCTGGGGATGAGGGTTGAGTGTGCTCCCTTACCTTTTCAAGGTAAGCTAGGTTAGCCTTCTTGTGTGAGCTTTTCAAGTGCACTTTAAGGTTTGTGGGATTTTTTTTCCCCTTTAGAAATGTCCCTCATAATTTGTCTCTTTCCACTACAAGACACTTGCTTTATCCAAAACACAATCATATTCAAAGTAATCCCAAATTGGACTCTGGCGCTTTCTCCTGACTTTTCCTGACATGATTCTGCGCGTGGACGCAGCAACACAGACGACTCGACTAACGTACTGGCCACCTGCTGGCATAATGAGACAGCAAGAAAAAAATCTGGAAACTAAACTTAATTTTCACCCTTGACTATTGTATGACACACACACATCTACGAAAACTAAACACATTTTTGCTATAAATTCAGTTAATTTTAGTTAGTTTTGTGAACACTCATTACAGTTTTAGTTAGTTTTCCTCTTTTTATTTTTATTTCCGTTAACGAAAATGTTTTTTCACTTCTAGTTTTCGTTAACGATAATAACCTTGGTAAGATGAATAGCAGATGAGGATCGGGAAACAGTGGTGATATGGAGCAGGTCACACAAATAGGAAGGAGCAGATTTATGGACACACTTGTACGTGAGAAGTAAGAGTTTAAAATTTATCCTGGCTTCTAAGGGCAACCAGTGAAGCTGCTGAAGAACTGGCGTAATATGAGCCCTTGACAGAGTACGAGTTGTGACCCGAGCTGCAGAATTTTGAAGAAGTTGGAGTTTATGAAGGGACCTTTTAGGGAGACCAAATAAGAGGTAATTGCAGTAATCAATGCGGGATGTAATACGACTATGGACACGGATGGCAGCAGCATGGGGAGTAAGGAAGGGATGGAGTCGGTTAATATTACCTAAGTGGAAGTATGTAATTAATGTGGGACTGGAATGAGAGAGTATTATCAAGTATGACACCCAAACTCTTAACCTGAGGGGAGGGTGGGAGAACTTTCAGTGTTAATGGAAAAACTGTGGGATTTGGATAAGATAGAGGCTGTACCAACAACTAAAACTTCTGTTTTATTACTGTTTAGTTTAAGAAAATTGGAGGAGAACCATGATTGTAGGTAGGTGAGAGGGATAAATTGGGTTTAGAAGAAATGTAGAGCTGGGTGTCATCATGTATCTTGCTTCATATATTTGATTTCTTCATTATATATCTACAATTTAGGAAGTAGTAAAAATAAATAAAAGCCATTAAATGAGAGGGTTTGTCCAAATTTTAGACTTTTTAAAAGAAGAAATGCTGGTATGAGCTGTCAAAAGATAATCAATAAATGCCTATAGTTTAAGTTAAAATGCAGAGACCTACCAGGAGTTATGAAAACAAACGCTTTTTATAGAAAGATATTACTGCTTTAAACACAGCCACACATACATTCTTGCACACAAACGAAGCCCAAAGCAAGCACAGCAGTTAATAGAGAAATTAATCCCTGTCTGTGGATGGATGTGTATCCAAATGCAGCTGCTTGTGTTTGAGCTTGTAGGTACCAGTGACTTTCATTCCTGTCATTAACCTGCTATCTTCAGTATCCTTGTATGTGTCCCACCATAGAACTAATGGCATTTTCAGGATGTGTGTTTACGTGTAGTCAAGGTTCACCACTATTGTGATAAAACCATTAAGAGAAGCAAAGGGTAGAATTCTCATGGTCATCCACTGTTCAGATGATCCTATTAGTATTCATAGGGTTGTATGAATACCCTTCCTCACATGCACTCACATTCACTTAAAGCCTTGTGCTGTTATTCCATAGAGGGTATAGTCATGACCTGCCATTAAATTCATCCCCGAGCTCTTAATACTAACCATTAAACCTTAACAAGTCTTCTAACCTTCGCTTAACTCGAACTCAAAACCAGATGCTTTAACCTGGCCAAAGTAGCCCTCTGCTGCTCTCAGTGCACGCTCGACCACGGGCTTCTGAACTAGCTGCCCTCTTTGGATTTAATGAGGAATTTCATTAGCATTTTAATGACAAATTCCAGGACCGCTGACAAGACTTTATTTTAGAGAAACTGAAGGGCAAATATGCAAAACCTCCACTCAATGTGACAAGTGTCCAGTAAAGAGCAACAAATTGGACTCAAAATGTCCGAGTGTCCAAGAGAATATCCAAAATGATTCATTCTTTATTCATCCTTATTGTCAGAACTGACGAGGAAAGACTGAACGGTTTAAGTATACTTGTGCATCGTCGCAGGTCCATGCTGTCAAAGGTTGTCGGCTCAAACCTTCTGTGCCATAATAAGTCATTTAATTATCCTTTATTTGAGGATTCAGCATCCAAAGGAGCGGAGTGTGTTTACTCTGTGTCATTTCATTCACTTCACTTTTCGTCACTCTTGATTATTTTTTCTGCATTCCTGTCTTCTTTTAAAAATGCACTGTACTGTTTTATTACTCTGGAGGATGGTGTCACATGTTTGTAGAAACAAAGCAGTGGGTATATTCATTATTTTGATTGTGCATATTTTCTGCACAGTGTTTTCACTATGATGACATGAGGAGCCTATCTTCTTACAGTCGTACACAAGAGAACTGACAGAAGTTCACCTGATGTTAGAAATTTGTTTAAGGTTATGAATGATGGTTCATTTGAAATTTAAAAAAAAGAGTAATGTCCTCCCACAGCAATTATTTCATGTACTTTTCATATTTTTATGAAAACCTCCCTGTTTAGTTCGACTTTATTTTTAACATTTCATGGACAGAATAGAACAACTGAATATAGCGAGGCCACTCAGCCTTGTTGCATTTTGTTCCAATTGTGATACTGCACCTAAACTATCTCTTAAAGTGCTAATTATTTTAATTTCCTTCAACTTACAAATGTTGAATCTCCAAAACAGCCACAGAAAGGGAATAGACTAGGCTAATTAACGCTGTATGTAACTGCTCATGATTCTTGCTATTCTGCCTCTTAGGCACTATTGCTACTGCTTTAGTTCTTTATTTGTCGGGAACCATGCATAGAAGCATTTAACTAGTATTGACTTTCTATCTGCACTCCTTAGGCAGGCAAACACAGCATTAGTTATGAAATCCAAATAATAGATGTTGAGTCAAATATAATTACTAGTTTATTTGTTTCTCTATGAAGGCTACTGTTTTCCACTAAGGTAGACTATATTAGCCATCTCAAAAAGGCTTCAAGAAGCTTGAAGCCAAGAAACTGCTGACACACATGTTGAACTGTCATTTTGCCTTCCCTGTCTTCCTGCCACAGAATGATCCCTCCATCAAGCAAGAACTTCCTAGTCAACAACCTGGCAGCAGGCACCCAGTACGACCTCTGTGTCCTGGCCATCTACGATGACGTTATCACCTCTCTGACAGCGACGCGAGTGGTCGGCTGCGTGCAGTTCACCACCGAGTCAGAGTACATGAGATGTCATTTTATGCAGTCTCAGTTCCTGGGTGGGACCATGATCATTATCATCGGAGGGATAATAGTGGCCTCGGTTCTAGTTTTTATTATCATCCTGATGATACGATATAAGGTGGGTCTATCTCTGTCGCTCTTGTCCAGTCTAGCCATAAGGCAGCAGGAATGAGGCAAGAGAGCTTTTCATTTAGCTGAATGATTGTCGTTATGGTGATCATGTAACAAGAAAAAGTCACAAAGTGATCTAGTGATTTTTTTTTTTTAATCTTTTGGTCTTCTTTGTATCTTTCTAATCAAAACTGTAAATTAGAGCTTAAATAAAAGCATTAAAATGATTTGTCTACATAAACTGATATTTTGAAGCATTTTAAAGTATCCTTAACTGATGCAAAAGCTACATCTGTTATAGTCATAGTGGTATTAGGTCTCCTGTAAATTTTTAAATATCATAGCATATTTTGTTTTATTTACAACAGCAACTTAGTCCTGATACAGGGACCAACAGGTTGGACTCAACGTGAATTTTAAAAGGGAAGAACCAGGTGAAGACATAAAGGACTAAACGTGTGCCTTAAAATGCATAAAAGTATAACTCAAAAAGTGTTTTTCTTGTTACTTGAAAGGGTTCAAAGGGAGACACTCAAGATGAGAAAAATCGGATCTAATTTTCCCTTTTCCCTATGCTTTTTCCTCAGGTGTGCAACCCTAGTGAGGGTGGCAAAGGCATTTCAATGTCAATGACCAACGTTCACTCACAGACCAATGGGCAGCAATCTCAGGGTTGCACCGTGACTCCAAGCTCCTCTAAACACGGCTCAATCGGATTAGACGACCTCTCAGGAGGCACAAAGAGGAGTGGTGCTGCAGCAGCGGGAGGTGGGAGAAAGGATACAATAGCTCAGGCCTCTGAGTCTTCCCTGCCTGACTGCTCCACAGCCACATCAGTTCTCAGCCAGGCTTGGTCGGCCAGAAGCCCAACAGCTGGAGCCGAGGAACGAGAGAAAACAGTTGAAGAGAGAGCTCAAGCCGGCATTGCATCACCCACCGCCACCACAGGCTCCCTACACAAGCCAAAGCGAAAGCCCGCCCCAACTAAGCCTGGCTCTGCTTGCTCCAGTGGCCAGGGGATGATCGAGAACCTCCCAACTGCCTCCTCGACACGACCACCTTCCTCTACTTCCACCGCCTCCTCTGCCCTCCTTCATTCCTCATCCCCCGGTGCCCTGGAGAACCTCAACACCAACCGAAATAACTCCACCGCTCTCTCTCAGACCCCACCACCTCCCTTTGCCTCTTCCCCTTTCTTCAGCCCCATCGCCACACCGAGCCCAGTCCCATCTGTGCGATTCAGAGAGACGCCCATCCTGCGCCGGGCTCCTCGCACCGCCGCCTCTTCTGCCAGATATCAGACTCTTCCTGTGGAGGAGGGAGGAAGGAGCAGAGCTAGGAGGAGGTACTCACTCAGTGAAGGAGGCTCAAAAACTCACTCCGCCCATCAGGGAGGAGGAGGAGCACCCAAAATAGGGCGCGTAATACGGAACAAAAGGAGCCAATCAATGAGCGGTATGCTACTCCCAAAAGATGGGGACGAAGAGTCGGACAAAGGGCGGTGTGACTCTGACTGGATCTTAGAAAGCACAGTTTGAACTGGAATGAGCCAGCGACCATAAAATGAACTTTGGTTTATTCATTGTTTGTCCTTTGTGTGAGTGGATGCGTGCAGTGTGAATCAAAGTTTTGTTTATAGGCGTATGTGTGAAAAGCCTGCTTGTGTCACGAAAAACTTTGCGTGTTGTTACTGTGTGTTTTCCTGTTTGAATTTTCTTTCTAAACGTGTGAGAGGTTGACTGTGTTTCTGGTAAACGTGTGTGTGTGTGTGTGCGCGCTTTTTAAAAAAATAATCAGTCTTTTCATAACTTTTCTCCACAGTTATTTGTACTTGATTTACAGTTTGCAGTTTTGTTTTTTGCTTTTGTTTCCACTTCAACAGTATCCATTTTGCAGTCAATCATTCAGCGAGTGGATAACTTGCCTTGTCTCGTAGCGTCCTCGAGTTGTCTCGTTGGTTCCACTTTATAGCACAAAAGAAAAACAAGACAATGGACTCGCCACGTCATTTCCCGATTCACTATCACCTTATCTGAAAAATACCACAAAAAGGGAATTAATACAGGAAATAAGAGGAATAAAAAAAATACAAAAACGGGAAAAGCACACCATTCTTAATGTTCACACGCTCACAGAGATGTGCATCCATAATGTGGCAAGAGAATAGCAGTCGGTGCCTTCTTTTGCACTAACAGACCCTCACTAACAGATACTTTAACCGGATTTAGGACTCCACCATGGCTCCACGAATGAGGGGACGGATTAAGGAAGAGAGATTTCACACTTAGCCTTTCTTACCTACTGCGGAGTACAGACCTTTTCTGGACACATAAAGACAAAATGTTGCAGACAGATGAAGACTTTAATGAACCTCTTATGAAATTGATATTTTTTAAAGCGAAGTATTAAAAAAAAAAAGCAAAGAAAAAAAGCAACGTGAGAACCTTGTGAGCTTTTCACTGACACTGGTATAATACAGCCTGTGTTGGTCACAAGCTCACGGAAAGCTTCTGTACAGAAAAAGACAACATGTACTGTTGTTATGTTGTGTAAAATAAAAAAGGGATAAAATGAAAATGGGAATGTTATGGGTGTGCTTTACAGCGAATATACAGCATGTCAAAAAATATACTGTGCTGGCATATTGCTCCAGTTTTTCATATCATTATTATATATTATATTATCTTTTCAATTGGAAAATTGTTTGAATGATGCGGCTTTTCATTCATATTTTGATAATTCGATGTATCGATGTTTACCTTAAAACCTCAGGCATAGTTACACACACACACACACACACACACACACACACACACACACACACACACACACACACACACACGTAGTCTGGAGGTTTATTCACAGCACAGAATCTGATTTCCATACCTCCCACCTCTCACTGACTGCATTTATTAGAGGGAAGCAATTTAGGAAAAAGTGCTCCCTGTGAGGCTTTGACAGTTTGCCAATGTGCCAATGAGTAAGGCTCACGTGACCTGTTTTTAAGTGCTTACAAAACAATCATAGCGCTCACATGAAAAACAGACTGTTGTGTAGCACGTGAGAAATAAGAGAGGGAGCAATAATTCAGCTCCATACAGTGCTTTATGATTCTCATATAGAGCACTCTTCTAAAGTAACAGGCACTTCTTATAAAAGAAGAGCTTCTATCCTCCCCACTCAAAGGAAACCTTCTGTTGTATCTCTGTCTGTGGTGAGTTTTTAAAAGGTCTTATGTGTGGACCAGAATGATATTCAACAAAATCTACATCCAAAATCTGAATGTGGTAACAAGGACACACAGAAGCACAGCACAGTTGCCAAAGAAAATGATTTTTGTTGACTTACAGGCAAGAACCATAAAAATCTTCACTTGTGTACAGAAGACAGGAGGGTTAATATTACGTGGATTCAGAAGGTTGCAGTGAAGGCTACAGTTCAGTTCTATTCTATTCTGTTCTATTTTAGGCCTAATACAGCATAACTAAGGGAGGGTTCAAGGTCACCTAATATATCCCTAACTATAACCTTAATCAAAAGGGAATGTTTTAGACCTAATCTTATAAATAGTGAGGGTGTCTGTCTCCCAAATCCAAACTGAGGACCTGGAAGCTGAAGGTTCTGCCTCCCATTCTACTTTTAAATACCCTAGGAACCATGAGTAAGCCAGCTGTCTGAGAGCAAAGCTCTGTTGGAGTTATACGGTACTATAAGGTCTTTAGGATAAGACTGCGTCCGATTATTCAAGAACTAAGTGAGGAGCAGGATTTTAAATAAATTTAACAGGCAGCTGATGAAGAGAAGCCGATGTGGGAGAAATATCCTTTCTTTCTATTCACTGTCAGTAGTGTTGCTGCAGCATCCTGAATCAACTGAAGGCTTTCTATGCAGCTTTTCGAGCAAATTGAGAATAATGAATTACAATAGTCCAGCCTAGGTGTAATAAAAGCATTATTACTGAATTATCATATACTGGGTATATTTCTGAACTAAAACTGGTGGACTTTGCAGGACTCTGTGTTACAACAAAACGTTTAAACCCAGATTATTTCCTCATAAGAGACAGTAGAGTTGAAGGGCTGATGATTCCAGGTGAATGGGGTTGTGATGACATATGTCGCTGATGCCAGAGAAGCCGGTGAACAGTGGCAGTCATGCTTGCTATATTTGCAAGCATGAGGTTGATTTGGTGGTGAGTAGAATTAACAGATGCCTGTCTTGCTGGCACACAAAGGAAATCTAGGGCACGAGAAGAACTTGATTACAAAACTGGAGATCAAAACGAGAGCAAGAAAATTAGAGAGGAGCCTGGGTGTTGTTTCCCACTACAGCTGACAAACCAGACATCAAACATCAACGTCTTTTTCATACTGACCCAAATTTAAGAATCATCACTGCTGATGAGAGGTTGGGCTACAGCTACAACCAGACAATTTTCAGTTGAACAGTCCACAGCTGTGGAACCATAAGGCAGCGCTTCAAATGAGACCAGTGCACAGTAGTTATTTTTTCCCCAACATTTACTGGGTTGTGTATTTTAACATCAAACATGAGACTACGCTGCTCAAAAATGAAAGTCGGCAAATTGGCATTTTGACATCCTGCTTGAAGGGCTAACTCCCATAGCACAACAAAGGGCTCCCACTGGGAGGAGGCCTTGGGTAGACCCATGCAGGACACACTGGAGAGATTATATCTCTTGGCAGTCCTGGTGTTACCTCGACACTAAAAGCTGATTTTTCTCAAACATTCTGTTGTGCAATTTTGTGCTAGTAGATTTGTCGATTTTAGAAATATTTCAAACGGACAAAAACCTCCATAATGTAGCCTGTAAACTCCACAATCAGAATGTGCCATATACTCGCGCAAAATAAGAACACAAAGAATTTCCAAATAGAATTTCCACATCAACAAACACAAAGAGTAACAAGGCTGTGGGCCACACTCAGTATGGGTGAAGTCGATATTAGTTAACATCAATGCAGGAAATTGATTCACTTTTAAATTAAATTACCAAAAAATTGTTTGACATGAAACTGTTCTGACAGCCAATTTCCAATTGATGTTCTCACTTCAATTAACAGACACTGTTGTTTTAATTAAGTAAATTGAATTGACAGAACTAAGGGTGAGTCATTGCTGACCTTTACAAGCAATTTGAGGGTTTATTGTGGTTCTTCTTCCCGCTTTGGGTGGCATTTAGGTTAATATATTAATATTAATATCAATGAAAATTATGTGTTTTATTCTGATAACACAATTTAATTAGAGTGAGAGTCTTCAAAACCAAAACCCTCCCCCCCATCACCATATCACTCCCTGGTGTTAAATTACAGCAGCTGATGAGGCAAGCAGACATGGAGTAAATGTTTAAACAGGAACTCGAGCCACTGGAGAGTTACAGGAGAAGATGAGAGGGGAAACAAAACCCCTTCCTACAACTCTCCTTGATTAATTTGTGTAAAAAGTCCACGGTTACTGGTGGACAGCTGTCCTGTTCATTCACAAATGGGAATATGACACGAAGCTCACTCATTCGTAGGTTTACCGCCAGCAAAGAATGCCAACCCAGTTCTAGGGTTTCTCACAAACACTTTCAGCAAACATGAGAAACACATTAACAGAGCTTCTTTATTACAAGCCCAACTCTGCACAAGCTTTCTTAACAGTCCTCTTTTCCTTGCTAGCTACGTGCACCACCTCTGGAGGCCCGGCAGAGGAGGCAGTACTGAAATATGGAGAGGGACTGATTAGAATCTGCAGAACAGGTGTGTCACTCACCTCACCTGAGCTGTCCCATCGAGCCCAACCTCTCCCATCGGCAGCCAATCGAAGAGCTCACCCCACCAACACAGGGAACACATTCATAAGCTTCTTCACTTTAAAAGCATATCTCCTGGTTCACACCTCCTCAATTGACCTTCAAATGCCTGCCTTAAGCTGTGAATGCTTAATGGTAAGAGGCTTTGGAGGAGAATATCCCTCCCTGTATCCTTCTTCCTCAATTTCTTTCCCTTTAAGCCCAGCTCTCTTTCCCTTTCCACCCTCCCACTGTGGTTCTTTCATTTCTGATTTTATATTTTGGGGATTTAAGAGCAGATTTTATACAGTGAATGATCGGGTTTTTTTAACAGAGAAGAAGATTAAAGTAATAATCTGAGGAATTTGCAGTATATTTCTGTTAATATTCTGAGTAAGATGCTAAATGAATAAATAACTGTGGTGAAGAGTGATCCATAGCTGGGGAACAGGATATGGAAGAGCAGTCTAATGGAGACCATCTGATCAAGCACCAGCTGAAGTGTGAGTCATCTGGAGGAATAAGGGGTTGGCTAGAAGTGTGCCTTGGAGACATAACAGGGAAACTGTGGAAAAAGGTGAGTTAATTAGAAAAATATGAACATCTGTTGGACACCATAGTACAAGATCCAGTTGCTTTCCTTCTAAAAGAAGGACAATATCCCAAATTCTTAGACTATGTATAAAGCCTGACATCTAATGGTGAAAAACAGGCCATGTTGCAAAGTAAAGGACCAGTCAGGGTGGTCTTGGCATCAAACACACGGGGTACAGGGGATTGTTGCATAGACTTGAACAGAAGTCCCTCTGGAAACTGCAGCTAAAATGTTTCTTGTGGTGAAATCATTCATGCCTAACATATTGTGTTATTCAAGATAATGGAAGAAAAACTTGATGCGGGTAAAAAAACAGTTGGCTTTTAACATGTGTTTTTAGTCTCTATCTTTAATAATAATCTCATCCTACATATGACGAACCAGCTTTGTGACAATGAGCCATTATTTTCTTTTTGGTTAGATTTTTTTATTTTGGAGTTTGTGCCACGATCTTTGGCACACGATTGCTATTCATCTTTTGCTCCTTCCACACATCCAGTTTGACAGTGTACAGTTTCTTGAGTTTTTAGGCAAGCAAATTAATGAATACTTTGAGCGCAATTCAGATCAAACATCGGCAAGTGTGAGTTGGGAAGCCTTCAAGGCATACTTAAGAGGGCTAATCATAAGCTATTCTAGTAAGAAAACAAGAGAAAGAAACCAAAGGATAAAATATCTGGAAGAAAAAATTAAAATGTTAGGAGAGACAAGCTTTCAATCAGGCCAAAATAATGAGGACAATGTAAAAGAATTATTACTATTGAGAACGCAATATAACGAAATGACAAGCGAAAAAGCAGCTGTAAATTTATTGAGATTAAAGCAACAATTCTATGTCCAAAATGAAAAACCCAGCAAATTCCTGGCTTGGCGTATAAAACAGCAGGAATCTGAAAAGGCAATTACAAAACTTGAAACTTTAAATGGAAATATCATAGTAGACCCATTAGAGATAAACAATGCATTTAAAGTGTTTTATGAAACATTATATAATTCTGAATTCAACAATGCAACTCGAATACAATCTTTATTTCTAGATAAAACTGGTATACCAAAAATTTCAGACGAGGACAAAGAAAATGTTGACAGGCAAATTAGTATGCATGAAATTATTGATGCTATAAACTCTCTAAATGCTGGTAAAACAGCTGGCCCAGACGGATTTCCAATCGACC